TATTATATATCTCTCATCTAATTATTTAAAATACTTGAAATAACTTGATATAAACCTCATAGTACAAGTAAAAATTCTATTGGACGCACTAGTTAGCACTGCATATTAAAGCTGCTGTATACTGATTTATAATAGTAGGAATGTAAAAATAAAATACAAATGATACTTCATGAAATACAAATACTTCGAATTATAGAATACTACATATCTTACTAAACAACACAATAAAATATTGAAAATTTCGCGCTTTATAATTATATTCCGTTTTTATAATTATATTAAACACATATTTTTTCTTATTATTTCTGAAATATTAATTCAATTTAATTGAATGTATATTAGAGAGTAGTTCAACATCTTAACACTCGACCGATAAGGCGCGATGTATTTAAAGTCATATATTTTTTCGTTAATGTATTGAATAATAATAATGATAACAATAAATTTTATTGTGCAAGATAGAAGACAATGTAAATTAGAACAATAGATGAGGCATCAGTAATACTACTGTTCGTGAGTCTAGATTTAATTAATTAATTAATTAATTAATTAATTAACACATGAAATCACATATATATTTGATAAACTTGCAATAACGACAGAAAAATGAAAAATGACGTACATGATTTAGGATGGGATCCACTTCAAGCTGCAAATATTTTCAAGCATTCTTTGATTGATCAATAAAATTCTTTCTTCTAAATGGTCAATGGAGCGTTACAAAATGGTTTTGTAGCGTTAAGTGGATCGTACCGACCCTTGATCTGTACCGGATGCGCATTAGTACGTTCAACCGAATTCGTTACAAGAAATTAGAAATGGCAAACGAAATAAGCTAAATTTTTTACTTAAGAGTTGCTCGACTATCGCCCGATGCCACCTTGACTTTCTCCTTTTCTCCCATCCCTCCGTAGTCGCACTGACACAACATTATCACTCGCGAGAATAAGGTTAACGTCGAACGCACTTTACTTTACACGACACTCCCGATATTCATAGATACGTGACGCGATGTATTGTATCACGGCGAAAGAATAACACGAAATGTGCGATAGTACGTAGCTACGAATTCGATCGAGCCACAAGTTGCTCCAAGGTCAAACACCAACCGTTTGCGTGACGGATTTTCGTAGAAATTTCGTGGAATTACGCACAGGAGAAAATCAACAAATGAAATTCGAGTATGCGTCACGCGACCGACAATGTCCGAAATAAGGATTAATGTGATATATTACTTAATTAGATGGCATCGAGACAGACACCGCTCATCCCGGAATCGATCCGTTCCGTATCGACGCGTTCTGAAAACTATTAGCGGCAACTTCACTCACACGCGCGACGCGACGGCAACTTCACTCACACGCATGACGCGACAACTTCATTCGTACGACGAATAAAACGGTTAATTACGACGCGATGGATCGTTCGAAAATTTGTAATCAACATCAAATATCGCCCGCTCGGTAATATATTTTGATCACACAAATCCCACTAATTATACGTATTTTTAATCGTCGTCAATATCATTAATATGTCAATGATCGATATATCATAGCTTTTCATTACTTGACTTAATCGCTGTTACATCACTTGGCGTTTTCAATTCGAAAATAACGGATTACAGCGAATATACGAAACGCACACAGACGGGAAGCAAAATATATTCGAATCCTTGCGATATGATTTTACTGTAAGATTACATTCCAAAACATTTTCTCCGACAATTTTACTCGAAATATATGATACACGTAAAGTATACTATATTGTATCGAGAAAATTTTTCTCAGAGAGGACATTTTTGAACGTGGTCTAAAAATGTCGCGAGTAAAACAACACCTTACAATCTCCATTTTGTCTATCTCTCGCTTCGTTTCTTCGCAATGCTCCAACGAATAGACTTTCCTTTGACATGTTTTTGTAATTATTCACACAGAATCACTAATTATTCACACGGAATCACGCTCCGCATAACGAGGCACTTACTATTATAACACGAGAAACGGTCTGACGACGAAAAGGCTGAGCCACCCATACCCTCCGCCCGTTCGAGGCACAGTGAACGAACGAAAACGTCACGACTTCTTGTTTACGACACTCGGCGAAGGTTGGACACTCAGCTAGCGCTAGAATCGTTCAATATGTAAACAAAGCTGCATCGGAAGCTCCTTTTCGACGAATTTTGAGAAGCCTGAGTTCGCGACATCGCACGTTGTTATGCTTCGTTCTACAAGGTGAGTGGATGGGTGGCCTTCTCCTGCTATTTGTATTTATGCACGATTCATATTCAGACGATGATTTTTCTATCGAGGTATCAAAATTTTTACCTACGCGATTCACGTCCTAGGTAAAATACAAAATCATTATAAAATCAAGAGTAAGATCTAGGGTTGTCGATGTCGAATAGAGTCAATAGAAATATCGTGACTATGAATATATTTAATAAAAACTATTTATATTAACCTCTGAATGAAAGTTGATTAATCAGAATGGAAAAGTATTAATTATTCAATATAATTCGATATAATACTTATTCATTTAGGGTGAATATAAATATGTTTTTAATTAATAATGAATATATTTATATAGATATCTCTATTCAATAACTTTGCAATCCATTTTAATGTTGCAAATATTTCATTGATCAATCAGAAGAAAGAATTTTACAAATTAATCAATCAAAGAATACTTTCTTTAAATTTTGAAAATTAAAAGAACATCTCTCTATAATCTGTTAAAAATTAAAATACATCTTTAAATTTTTCTATTCCATTTTCTTGTTTATATCCAAGATTATATTATTATAAGCAAAACAGCAACAGATTCTAATCATATTGAAGTGTATTTGATATATCTATAATATAGTTATGAATTGATACTTATATGAATAATTTTAAAAGTGCTTGAGTGTATAAAATCTATTTACATATTTACATATTCTTTAATTTAATTTACGAAACGCATATTAATTTTTTAATCCAAATATAATTTACGATCATAATGTAATTTAAATTCGATACAGTTTGAAATTGCGAGTGTCATGGATGTGCAAAACACGTACCGATGAACAGAAAAAAGAAAGAAGCCAGGATGATACCAAGTAATAAACACCAAGTAATAAACGGAACAACCCTTGGGTGAGTAAATGACTTGTGATTTATATCATAATAATTTATGATTAAAATTTGATAAAATCTACGTCTGTCAGGCCTATCATTAAAGCATTATATAATAATTTCTGTTTTATCCGGATTATTATTCTGCTCTTTCCGGGAACTATTTTCGAGTTTAGCCCATTTCGGCGCAGGTGTTGGTGCGAGACAGGCGATGTTTATAAAGCGATGCGGAAGGTACCGTATGCTTGATAACGCGCTAGCGAGAAATTGGGAAGATATATTCGTGAGGTTGATAAGTCGGCTTGTGCAAACTCACACAGGCAAACTATATACGAGCACGCATCGCGTTACGATGTCTAGAGCAAACACACACAGAGTGGCGACACTTTCTCGGATAATCCAAGATGCCGCGTGTAACATAATAGAGAACGGAAGGATATAAGATACGGTTACTGTCGCGGGGTGTAACAGCGGGCTATCAACCCTCTCCAGCCGATTTCCCTTCTCTTCGTCACTTCTCCGGTTGGCGGAGACAGCCGCAGAAACTTGAGGATTTATGGCCTTGCGGCTTGCGGATTTTCGTTTTCTGCCGAACGACGTACGCCACGCCGTTCGAGATCTCCGTACCCTCGCGCGCAACGAGAAGCCGATGGAGACTCAATTAATATTTATGGAGAATCCCAACTAGCTCTACCATTTCCGCTCTCCTCTCTTCTTTCTGCCGTGTCCTTTCTCCCGCTCCACTTCCAACTATTCCCGGGATGGAGGTTGCAGCATCGGTTAAGCTCTATGCGGTAAAAAGGAATGGCGGACCGCGTTTGCTCCGACGTTCGCTATCAGTTTTATTCGCGCACTGGGATTCTTCCGAAGTATCGTTACGATACCTACCTATTTTCGAGCAAGTTCCTCGAATACGGTTCTAGTGTAGCGTATCCGCACGCTTATCCTCGAATAATACGTCTGTGACACGAACGGTAAGTTAGTTAGAGCGTACTTATCGCCGTCGGTTGAATATTTTTTTTACGTACTTGAAAAAAATGCAACTCTTCGTACATGTAACATTCCTGTCTCACTGTTCTTCCCTTTTAAATTTTTTATTGTCTTGTTAGTTTTTTTTTTGCGCCACACGAACATGATTATATTCCAACTTTTACGTGGCAACGATGCATCGAAATTTCGGCAGACTTTTCTTCCGCTACATTGCAGTCATAAATGCGAAAATTACTTCAGATAGTAGAGCTTTTTATGTTCTTTATTTATGAAATTGTCTTCTTGTTTACTACGAAACCTACATTCTAATTTTTTAAAATACTTAAAAACGGAAGCTTATACATATAATTATTTTACTTGTATTTGATTTTTTAATACATACATTTTGCCGTCTATTATTAATTGTATTTTAATTAATTTTACAGAATATATATAGTTTCGACTAAAATTTTTAAGATAAATCAAACAAATCTGATAATTGCTATGTTCAAAGATAGAATATTATAAAATACAATAAAATAATAATTAAAGGATATAAAAATTATATATATCAGACTTCTAAATTAAAAGATATATAATTTGATATTATAAAGATAGATATTTCGCACGCTTCGTGATACTACTTAAAATTCCCTAAGCAGCTGTGGCAGCTTCACGGGATCGAGAGTAAAAGAACGACGAATGGAAGCAGTACACTAAAAAGTCTTTTTTTTTCACACGGTGTAGCCAATGCCGGGCGGAGGAAGGGTCCAGTTATAAACCTTCGTGAAAGCAGGAACGAAAATTCCCCGGGCGGAAATAAAAGTAAATTAAAGGGCACGCGGTCGGTTGTTTAAAATGTAACAGCCAATTACTGACCTCTCGGTAGTACGAGGTCGTCGATCGCACGAACGAGCAAAGCTTTCTACCATTTTCCTGGTGATTTTCTTCGGGAACTCTTTCTTCGTGTGTGCTCTTTTTCTCTGATACAATTGCTCATCCATTTCTGACTGCCTGTCACACTTTTTTCTACAATAATATTCACATTTGCATATTTATTTCCATATTTATAACATATTTCTATATTAATATATTTTTAGAACAATTAAATCTTAATCCGTACTTACAAGAAAAAGAATAAAAAATGCAATTACATTTAAAGTTTATATACGTTATGTACTTTATATGTTTGTGTGCTAATCGAAATTTTTCACATATTTCAAACTTTGGATTCGTTCTACCATTGCAATTATGTGCTTTTATATATACCTTTATAAAATCGGTGTCGTGATTTAATTTAAGATCAAAGCTGGCACGTGAAGAGAAAGCATTCTTACGAAATTATCACCGGCTTAAAATTTTCCTAATTTCTTAGCGTTCTCTTTGAGAACCGTGCTGGGACAGGACGTTTTCCGCCTTCTTCTTATCTGCAATTTCGTTCCATTTCCTTAGGTGCGCTTTTAAACTATCCAATTCGCTCTTTCGGATGAAAAAGTCAGCGAATGGAATGCGGAAGGAGTTTCAAATTATTCGCTTTCTAACGAATACCTAGTTATCCAGAACACGAGTTAAGCTCGAATTATGTGCGTTCTGTTTTTTATATTTATTTGTGTGCTGAAAGATCAATCTTTTTATCTTTAGTAAGACGTTCGTTCATAATATTAAAAACAGGATAGTTGAAATAACGAATTAAATTTCTGAACATACTATTATATTAATTATTATTTTATATACATATAAAAATGTCAAAATATTAAAAGTTATTGAATTATATAAGCGATAGAAAATATTGTGTAAATATCAGATATATAAAGAATAAATCTCCATTTTTTTTAAGACTTTTATAAACGAATTGAATTTCAATATATAGAACTTTAAATTTATATTGAAATCAAATGTATTTAATAATTTTATATCATTTATTTGTTTACGTATAGTGATTATAAAATAATATTGCGGAAAGTTACTTTAAAATATCTCTTATATTATCTGCTAGAATCTTTTTTATAAACTGCAAGTTCTTTCCATGAAATATTATGCAAAATAATAAAAAACGCGGATATATTTTAATTTATTGAAGCGTTGCAATATATCGATCCTGCAATATTAACCTATACCAGATGTATCTCTCATGGGAATAAATCCATTAGGAAGGATTCTCCTTGTAGAAGACTTGTCGATTATATCACTCAAGCTAATTTAATAATTTATAACCGCGTAAGACATAACTCTGGCGAATTGATTTTCGGATTGGAATTATCAATATTTCAGTTGTATTTTCCAGTACAGGTCATAGTTTAATTTTGTTTTCGTCTCAAGCCGCAAAGGAAGCTCAAATGAAGCGCGTTTATTTCAAACACGTTGCAGACGACCGCCGTCGACATCGTTATCGGTCTACACTCCTATCTTCTTTTAACTTATAGCCCCCCGCCGACGCGCATTAGGAAGATACTGGAGTGGATGAATGTTCGAGCGAATGGCACTCGATGCTGAAGTAGATGGAGGCCTGCTGTACATAAGTCTGCTCCATTAATCAGCCGGCAAACGGCATTTCGCAAGCTCGCCAGTTGCTCGCGCGACTCGATTCTCAGGATATTGGCCACTGTATACCGCATGACCTTTCGAAAATTTATGTCGGTCCAAAGCCCCGACGAAGCTCGATCTTCCTACGATAGTAGACTCCACTTGAAACGCACAGCGATTTCTTTCACAACTGCCGGCAGTCGATGTCCCGGAAAAGAAACCTGGAAAAAATACAACATCGATATTCGTGAATAATGGAGCGGAATTCGTTTTACAGTAACGTTTTCAATCGCGATTCTGCAGGTGATAGTATTATATTACAAGAGAAATTGTGACACATAAACCTATTTTGTATCATTGCTTTTTCTACGATCGAAGGTTTAGCTTGTGCGCATAGTCTTTTACGCAATTTATGCTTTAGCGCAATTTATTGTTTTACATCACTACCAATTACGATATCAATTTTTACTGAACAATAAACCATATGGTACAATTTATACGGAGCTTAGCGCGGGAAAAAAATGCGTCGCAGCCGCGATAAATTCAAATTTTATCACTACGCAAGTCGAAGAGGAATCGCTCTAATTCCCTCCACCGTATGCATTAAACCGTATTGCATTACGTAAGAAACACTCGCACCATTTTCATCGGTAAGCCTCTTTCAGCCGCGTTCGTTCCGCGGTCGTAAAACTACAATTTATTAGTCGTCGTGCAATCCCACCGTTTCGTGAGCTTGTGGCCCGCTCGAGTGGCGGCTGCACTTTTTCAAGCCGCTACGCGCGGGTCGCGTGGAACGATTGCAAGCGAGTTTCAGCTTTCGTAGACGGGAGGATGTTGACATCCATGGAATTAGGCGAGGAAGGAACTATTTATCAGGCGTGTATACTGTAGCAGGCATTTTCTATGTAATCCGCGGGAGAGTGGTGCAGGCGAGACGGGGAAACGCGGACAACTCGCTATTGTTCCGAAAGCCTCGATCCACGGAATTCGGTCCTTCGTCTCCGTCCGTCGGGTGAGCCGGAACTGCCTCCGTAACGGTGGGTTCGCCGACTCCATTGTATCGTTTGTTTTCGCAAGAGGAAAGCCCAATGCTCTCTCAGTAACACAGAACGTGGCTGCGGTACAGTGCGGTGGGGGATACACTCGACGTTGGTCGCGGTGAATTCTCAAGTCTGAAGACCGCGCTGACATTCGGTTCTGCACGGCACTCTGCCAATGAATGCTGTTATCCTTCGCCTAATAACCGTCTTGATCTTTGCATTGTCTGGCCGGAAGTGTTACGCGTGGAATGGCGAGATCCTTCAATCGAGCATCCAACCGGATGCGGCTTTCGACAATCGGACGAATCCCTCATGAGTACCAATACGCTTAGATCCACTAAAATCCTTTCTGTCGGTAGAACAGTTGTCGGGACAGTTTACGTCGAGCAGGAAGGCACGCGAGTGTGTATTGTGCACCCTAAACGGTATGTCAAACTATTTTACACCAAGTGGTCGCAGATTGACTTCAAAATGACTATGTTAATTCAGCGTCGGGACTGAGCACATTGTAAATTCTCTCAATCGTATGAGCAGGAAAATGCAGTAGTTTGAAACTATCGATGATTGCGCTGTAAAATGTTTAATGGATAAGTATATAGTTTGTTCCTCGTATTTAGGAGAGAATTATGTATTGGTCGTCTAAATCGTACTTTATTAATATATATAATAATATTTTATATGTTATATTATTATTTAATATGTATGAATAACATTTAGTAACAAAAATAAATGAGAAAAATGAGTAATATAGACAAAAATTTAATGTATTAGTTAATTATTACTTGCTTGTTAATGATTTCATTATTATAATACAATATTATATTTTATTATTATAATCTTATATTTTT